CCGCCGCCGCCGCCGCCGCCGCCCCGTGCGCGGCCCCGCCAGCCGACGCGCCGCGTTTGCTCCGCGCTCCGGGGCAGCCGGGGGGTCCCTGCCTGGCCGGAGCCGCTGTCCCCCCCCGGGAGAGCCGCCTCCCACTCGTCCTCGCGCGGTTCCTCCTCCTGCCACCCCCAGGACGCGGGTGTGGAGGGGACCCCCGCACTTTCCCCGCCCCCAAATGCTCACCCACGCTCACGCCTGCACCCCTCCCCCGGGGCAGGACCGGCCGTCGAGGCCCTCAGACCTTCGTTCTTTTCTACCGGGATGTTTCTTCACGCCGTGCACCGTGTGCACGCGAGCGGCCGCCCCCCGGGACCCCCCCAACCCCGGGACCCCCGCGGCCGCCCCCTCCCAGCCCTCCCCACCGTCCCCACCCCACGGGGCAGGTGCTGTCGTTGTTGGAAATAAAAGTTCACTCTCTGTGGTGCCGTGGGGCTGCGGCCGCCGCCTCGTGCTTCGCCTGGGCGTGGCTGTCACCCGGGCGTGGCTGTCACCCGGGCGTGGCTGTCACCCGGTGTCACCCTGCACCCCCCTGCCCAAAATCTCCCCCTGAGCTGGGCTGGTTCTGCACCCACGCGCTGCCAGCGAGCATCTGATCACGGGAGCCGGGAGTGGTAATTACGGAGTGATTAATCTGTGAGTAAATTAGGAACTCGGAGGTCATCCCCGCGTGGGGCCGCTCCAGGTGGGCGCTGCTGGCCTCTGGAGATGGAGCTGGGGCAGCAGGAGCAGCAGCTGGGGGTGGGAATGCCCAGAGCAGGAGCGGGGTCAGGACAGCGGGGCTGGGGCAGGGGACGTCTCTGCTGGTGGCTCTCGGCACATCTGGGATGGAGATTCTGATCCATGGTGGGATCAGGGCACGGAAACCCTCCTGCTGTGAGTGCCATGGCTCAGATCCTGCTCACGGCTGTTCCTTCCCCCTGGGAAAAGCCTCCCGAGCTTCCTGAGGGCTTCCCTTGGTCAGGACAGGCTTGGAAAGAGCAAAGGACACTGCCCAGTTTGGACTGGTGGCCACTGCCCGGTTTGGACCGTGGGACAGGACAGGGCTGCTCCCAGCCCCAGTGCCGGGACACTGGGACAGGATGTGACCCTTGGAGTGGGGGTCCCCTCCCCAGCCCCGCCAGGGGATGGAAGTACCGATTTCATAGCCCAGTTCATCCCAGCAGCGCCCAGTTCAGGTTTGGGGCACTGGAAGAAGCCATTTGGGTTGCAACGTGGTGATGGGAGAGAGGAGGAGGGGCTGGAAGGAGCCAAATTATTCCACTGCCACCTCCTAAAGGGGGATCCAGCTGTGCGGGGAGGGGGCTGGCACGAGCACGAGGACTTTGGCTGCCCGTGCCCGGGGTCAGGACCGTGGGTGACACGTCCTGGCACATCCAGGGGCTGCAGTGGGGCTCGGCCGAGGTTCTCAGCCCCATGGAGGGTGTGGGGCACCATCCCCTCCCTGGGGTGTCCCTAATTCTGCTGGAAATTCTGCTGGAATTCTGCAGCCACATCCTCCAGCTCTGCTTTCTGAGAGCTGCCACGCACTGGGATCCCCCCGCCCCCTGCTTTGGGGGATCCAGCTCCCCTCCTCTCCTCCCCAGCCAAACACAGCCGCGAGAGGCAGCGTCAGGGTTTCCTGGGGCATCTGTTGGCAATTAGCAGCTTTTATTACTCATGGAGACGCCAGATGGGGCGAGGGAACGGAGCCCGGGCCAGAGGCACAGGCTCGTGGTGTGTCCCAGCACGGGGGACAAGGGACAGCCCCCAGTCCTGCGGGACGGGGGGTACAGGGGGAGCAGATCCCAGAGCAGATCCCAGAGCTCTGGAGCCGTTTTCCATCTGCAGCTCCTATCGGAGCCAAGCTGGGTCCCCCCAGTGCCAAAAATGTGCGGAAATGATGGAGAATTGACGGCTCCGAGGCTGCGCGGGGGGACGGGAGCTCCGCGGAGCTTCTCCCTCCGCTCCCCGGGGAAGAAAACTTCACCAAAAAGAGGCAAAAGTGCTGTTCTAGCACCGCCGATACAAACGGCCCAGGGAAGCTGGAAAGAATTCCTGCAGGCGCTCTCCTTCCTGGCTGGAATTAGGCGGGGAGCGGGGGGAATTGTGCCTGGATTGGTGCAGAAATTAATGCTGAGCCGCTGAAATCCTCGCCGCAGGAATTCCCTCCTGCGCCTCGTCCAGGCCGGCAGCTGCCTCTGAGCCAGCGTGGTCCGGACGGCGTCATCCCAACCCTCATTCCCTGGATTTGGGGAGCCGGCGTCATCCCAACCCTCATTCCTTGGATTTGGGGAGCCTTTTGGGGGGGCTGATCTCGGGGTGAGAAGTGGGGAGCTCAGGGTAACGCAACCGCCGTGTTGCTCCGAGGCAAAATTATCTCCAGCCCCAAAATTCTCGGGCTCTGCTCCGGCTCGTGTTTTTTGGCAGGCGGCGCGGCAGTTTCTTGGAAGCACAGCGTGCCTCTGCTTTTTCCATGATGGGCTGGAGGGTGGGCAGGGGCTGCGGGATCCTGCTTTCCATCCCCCCGCTGGGCGCCGCTCCAAGCGAGCGTTCTGGGGAGGCGGGATCCGGCTTCTTCCTCCCTCTGGAAATGCGGATCCCGTGCTCTGGAGCAGCAGGAGCTGCGCCGAGCGGGGTTTTCCACGCCGCCGCCACCCCTGGGGCTGCCGGGGTCGCTTTGTGCCACTGGGTTGGGGACAACGAAGCCAGGGGAGCACCCTGGGAAGTGAGGGAAACTGAGGCACGGGAAGGGCGCCTCACTTGTAAACCCTCCGAGGAGTTTTGCAGATGAATTGAGGCTCCTGGGAGATGCAGAGGATGGGACGAGGCTGCCCTTCATCCCTGCTCTGCTCTGGGGTTGGGGTGGCATGTGGGGCCAGTTTTGGGGCACACAAACCCCGGTTCATCGCTGCTGGGTGGCCCCAAACAAAGAACAGCTCGAGGAGAACAATCATCCCAAACGAGAGAAAATTCGCTGTGTTTTCGTTCCCACTTGCTTTAATTACCCTTAATTACCTCAGCAGGCACCTCGCGGGAGCATTGTCACCACGTCGCCGGGACTGGCGGAGCCGAGCCGCTGGGGTTGCCCACGACAGCTTATTTACTGCCTCTGCATAAGCAGCAGTTGTTAATTAGCGAGTTTATTGAGATCCATGCGTCCCTCACGCGTCTCTAAAGCTGCAGCCTAAATAGATCCATCACAATTTGGGAGAAAACGCAGCTGAGCCATCTGAGGGTCCTGTGCCACCCCAGCCCTGGCGATGCCAGCCGATGCTCTGCACCCTCCAGACCCAAACTTGCACGAGCTGAGCTCGTTCCCTGCCTGGTTTTGGGGGCTCAGGGCGGCCTGGCACGGGAGGATGGGGCAGAGTGGGGCAGCCAGGCCCCGGGACGGCATTCCAGGCTGGCACGGCCCGTCTGGGATGGGCCCGGATCCCTCCAGGGCTTGGCAGGGCTCTGTGGGAGCAGCGGCGGTGCCAGCGGCAGCAATGGTGGCAGCGGTCCCGTCCCCGCGCTCTGACCCCGGGCACCTCGCCCTGAGCCAGACTGTCCCCAAGCCACCCCAAGGCGCAGGGAGGGGACAGCAGCTCCGTGTCACACGGTCTGCCCGGAGCTGCTCCTGGGGCCGCGCCATGGAGGAGCATCCTCGAGGGACATCCTCCTTCCGTGGGGACACACGGTGCCACCACTGGTGCCAGCTCCCGGTGCCCTCAGCTCCCTGCGGGGAGGAAGAGCCGCTCCACAGGGGTGGCAGGCCGGGAATGGGGTACACCCCCCCCGGGATTGGGGTTCCCCTCTTCTGGGGCCCGGAGAGGGGAAGGAGGGTCGGGAGGGAAGGAAGGCGCTGCCGGGGGAGGCGCCGGGGGAGGAGGAGGAGGAGGAAGAGAAGAAGGGCGGGGATGCGAAGGCGGCCCCCCCGGTTTGGGGAGAGGAGGGGGGGGTGGTGCGGAGGGCGGGCAGCGCTTGGGGGGCGGCTCGGGCCCCCCCCGGAGGGAGGCGGGGAAGGCGGCGGGGGCGGCGCGGCGGCTCCCGGTGTCCCGCGGCGGAGTTCCCGGTGTCCCGCGGAGGGGTTCCCGGTGTCCCGCACCCCCGACAGCGCCGTCCCCGCCGAGCCCCGCGCAGGTGAGCCCCGCGCAGCCCCGCAGCGGGGGCGGGCGGAGCCCGGCGGGGCCCGGCCCTGCGGCGGGACGGGACCGGACGAGGGGGGGATTCCCCGTTAATCACCGGGGTTAATCACGCCCCGGGGCCGCGGGGACCCGCCGGTGCGGAGGGAGCGGCGCAGGGAAGGAGGAGCGAGCGGGGGGAGCTGCGGAGGGAGCGGGGGCGTGCGGGGTGCGGAGGTGGCACGGGGGGCGGGCGCGGGCAGTGCCAAGGCCAGCGGAGCCGGGTGGCACCTCAGGGGACAGCCGGGGAAGGGGTTGTGGCTCGGGACAGGGGGGAGCCTGGGCAGAGCTGGGGGTGCGAGAGAGCCCCGAGCGGGCAGGGCAGGGGCGGCCCCGCTGCCGGGGGCTGTGCGGGGTGAAGGACGGGATGGATGCACGCCCCGCTCTGGCAGCAGCCCCGGAGCCCAGCGTGTCCGGTCTGTCCCGGCCCCGGGCCCGCCGGCAGCCCCGGCTTGCCTCGTGGCAGGAAGCAGGAGGGAGGCCAGGTCGGGGTGACCTGCGGGGACACCCCGGGATCCACGCGGGAGCGGGAGATAAAACGGGAGGGGTGAGACCTTCGTGGGTGGGTGCCCGGTTCCACTCTGGGGAACCTCGGTCGTTGCATTTCTGAATGTTCAGGGTAAATCCGGCTGCTGGCCTTTGACACCCAGGGATGCTGAGGCTGGGGGTGGGTGTGGAACAGATGGATGGGGGCCACACTGACCCCCAAAACACCACCGAGCCATGGCCAGGAGTCAGCACCACTCCACGCTGGTGCCTTTCCTGCTGTGGGCAACCTCGCGGGCCGGTGCCCACCAGGTGCCCACTCGGGGTCTCTCCCTTGCAGGTGCGGGCCCTGAGCTCTGCCACGGGCACCATGAGGGGTCTCTGGGCCCTGGCCCTCGCCGGGCTCCTCAGCGCCTGCCAGGGCAAGGAGCCGCTGCCAGAGGAAGGTGAGGACCACGGGGGCTTGGGAGCCACCCCGCTCCTCGCCCGTCCCTGTCACGGCTGGCTCAGACCAGCGGTGGCAGAGCAGAGGTGGCCGCAGACAGCGGGGGCTGTGCCAGCTCCCCACGAGCCAGGAGCGGAGTGGTGGCTCCGGGCTGAGCGCCGGGGCTTCGCTCAGCATCCCGGGCGGGCAGGGGGCCAGGGAGAGCGGAGCCGAGCGAGAGGGAGCCAGAGGGACACCCGACACCGCCCCTGCAGCCCCGGCCGTGGGCAGGGACGGGGCTCGGCCCCTCTGCGGCCGGGGCACGCTCGGTGCCAGCTGGAGCCGGGGCCGGGCGGGGCAGGTGAGC